CTGGTTTTAGTCCTTAATTTAGTCCTTGGTTTAGTCTTGGTTTAGTCCTGCTTTAGACCTGGTTTAGTCCTGGTTCAGTCCTGGTTCAGTCCTGCCTTAGTCTTGGTTCTGTTACAGGTGGTTTTATTGCTCAAAAATACCTCAAAAAACAGAGAGTGAGTCGCCTCTCCACAGATCTGATCCGTAACTTGGTCTAGTTTGGTCTTCATGAAGATAAAAAGGTTTAATGCCGCACTGTGAAACATCCCAGACAAAGCAATAACCACATACTCCATGGAAAAAAGTAAGAAAAGTGACAGAGTGCGGCTTTAACATGTTTTGTTTTTTGTGTTTTTAGTTGGATTTCCCGTTCGTCTACGCCCGAGCCGTGACCGCCGTGAAGATCCGCCCCCGAGCTGTGATTGGCTCAGAGGAGGAGAGCGAGGAAGAGCCGGTCCAATCAGAGAGCAGCGCCTTCCCCATCGTCCAATCGGAGAGCGGCTCGGACTCCGCCGTCCAATCACAGAAGGGCACGTTTCCCTGGAACATCGACGGGGAACTGTTCCACCTGAAACACGAAGTCCTCGTCAGGTCAGACCACAGACCGGACTAAACCAGGACTAAACCAGGACTAAACCGGGACTAAACCAGGACTGAAACCAGGGACTGAACCAGGACTAAACCAGGACTAAACCAGGACTAAACAGGACTAAACCGGGACTGAACCAGGGACTAAACCAGGACTAAACCAGGACTAAACCAGGACTAAACCAGGACTAAACCAGGACTAAACCAGGACTAAACCGGGACTAAACCAGGACTGAACCAGGACTAAAACGGGACTAAACCAGGACTGAACCGGGACTAAAACGGGACTAAACCAGGACTGAACCAGGACTAAAACGGGACTAAACCAGGACTGAACCAGGACTAAACCAGGACTAAAACGGGACTAAACCAGGACTGAACCAGGACTAAAACGGGACTAAACCAGGACTGAACCAGGACTAAAACGGGACTAAACAGGACTTGAACCAGGACTAAAACCAGGACTAAAACGGGACTAAACCAGGACTGAACCAGGAATAAAACGGGACTAAACCAGGACTGAAACCAGGACTAAAATGGACTGAACCAGGACTAAAACGGGACTAAACCAGGATTGAACCAGGACTAAACCAGGACTAAAACCGGGACTAAACCAGGACTGAAACCAGGACTAAAACGGACTAAACCAGGACTGAACCAGGACTAAAACGGGACTAACCAGGACTGAACCAGGGACTAAACCGGGACTAAACCGGGGACTTAAACCAGGACTAAACCAGGGCTAAACCAGGACTGAACCAGGACTGAACCAGGACTGAACCAGGACTAAACCAGGACTAAACCAGGACTGCAGTAATAAAAACACTAAAGTTTCTCAGTCTGGTCCATCGTTCCGGGAAAAGACGAGAAATGTCCCTGACCTGGTGCAGGACTCTGCCCCGGTCCCCGTCCTTCATCATTTACCCCGGGTCCATGACGTGCAGAAAGATTTATTAAATAAATCTTCCTCCTTCAGTGTGTGTGAGTTTGGACACAGTCGACCTCCTCCTCACCTCCTCGTCTCTGCCTCGTCTCACGTCACAAAACTAAACCCATTTTGGTCATATTTGGTTGAGAGGAAGTTTCTTGTTAAATAAATACAGATTAATTTTCTATGTAAATGAGTGTGGAGGTGTTTGTTGTCGGGTGTTGGTGAATTCGACTCAACTGTCACTAAAGAAGGAATTTGTGTAAGAAAGTTTTGTGAATCTGGGGCAGAGTGTGTGTCCTGTCTCACTTGTGTGTGTCTGTGTGTGTGTCCTGTCTCACTTGTGTGTGTGTGTGTGTGTGTCTGTGTGTGTGTGTCCTGTCTCACTGTGTGTGTGTCTGTGTGTGTGTCCTGTCTCACTTGTGTGTGTCTGTGTGTGTGTGTCCTGTCTCACTTGTGTGTGTGTGTCTGTGTGTGTGTCCTGTCTCACTTGTGTGTGTCTGTGTGTGTGTCCTGTCTCACTTGTGTGTGTCTGTGTGTGTGTCCTGTCTCACTTGTGTGTGTGTCTGTGTGTGTGTCCTGTCTCACTTGTGTGTGTCTGTGTGTGTGTCCTGTCTCACTTGTGTGTGTGTCTGTGTGTGTGTGTCCTGTCTCACTTGTGTGTGTGTCTGTGTGTGTGTCCTGTCTCACTTGTGTGTGTGTCTGTGTGTGTGTCCTGTCTCACTTGTGTGTGTCTGTCCTGTCTCACTTGTGTGTGTGTCTGTGTGTGTCCTGTGTGTCTGTCACTTGTGTGTGTGTCTGTGTGTGTGTCCTGTCTCACTTGTGTGTGTGTGTCTGTGTGTGTGTGTCCTGTCTCACTTGTGTGTGTGTCTGTGTGTGTGTGTCCTGTCTCACTTGTGTGTGTGTGTGTGTGTGTCCTGTCTCACTTGTGTGTGTGTCTGTGTGTGTCCTGTCTCACTTGTGTGTGTCTGTGTGTGTGTCCTGTCTCACTGTTGTGTGTCTGTGTGTGTCCTGTCTCACTTGTGTGTGTCTGTGTGTGTGTCCTGTCTCACTTGTGTGTGTGTGTGTGTGTGTGTCCTGTCTCACTTGTGTGTGTCTGTGTGTGTGTCCTGTCTCACTTGTGTGTGTGTTGTGTGTGTGTCCTGTCTCACTTGTGTGTGTCTGTGTGTGTGTCCTGTCTCACTTGTGTGTGTCTGTGTGTGTGTCCTGTCTCACTTTGTGTGTGTGTGTGTGTGTGTGTCTGTGTGTGTGTCCTGTCTCACATGTGTGTGTTTGTGTGTGTCCTGTCTCACTTGTGTGTGTGTCTGTGTGTGTGTCCTGTCTCACTTGTGTGTGTGTCTGTGTGTGTGTCCTGTCTCACATGTGTGTGTTTGTGTGTGTCCTGTCTCACTTGTGTGTGTGTTGTGTGTGTCCTGTCTCACTTGTGTGTGTTGTGTGTGTGTCCTGTCTCACTTGTGTGTGTCTGTGTGTGTGTCCTGTCTCACTTGTGTGTGTGTCTGTGTGTGTGTGTCCTGTCTCACTTGTGTGTGTCTGTGTGTGTCCTGTCTCACTTGTGTGTGTCTGTGTGTGTCCTGTCTCACTTGTGTGTGTGTCTGTGTGTGTGTCCTGTCTCACTTGTGTGTGTCTGTGTGTGTGTCCTGTCTCACATGTGTGTGTGTGTGTGTCCTGTCTCACTTGTGTGTGTCTGTGTGTGTGTCCTGTCTCACTTGTGTGTGTGTCTGTGTGTGTGTGCCCTGTCTCACATGTGTGTTTGTGTGTCCTGTCTCACTTGTGTGTGTCTGTGTGTGTGTCCTGTCTCACTTGTGTGTGTGTCTGTGTGTGTGTGTCCTGTCTCACATGTGTGTTTTGTGTCCTGTCTCACTTGTGTGTGTCTGTGTGTGTGTCCTGTCTCACTTGTGTGTGTGTCTGTGTGTGTCCTGTCTCACGTGTGTGTTTGTGTGTCCTGTCTCACTTGTGTGTGTCTGTGTGTGTGTGTCCTGTCTCACTTGTGTGTGTCTGTGTGTGTGTCCTGTCTCACTTGTGTGTGTCTGTGTGTGTGTCCTGTCTCACATGTGTGTTTGTGTGTCCTGTCTCACTTGTGTGTGTGTGTCTGTGTGTGTCCTGTCTCACTTGTGTGTGTCTGTGTGTGTGTCCTGTCTCACTTGTGTGTGTGTCTGTGTGTGTGTCCTGTCTCACTTGTGTGTGTCTGTGTGTGTGTGTCCTGTCTCACATGTGTGTGTTTGTGTGTGTGTCCTGTCTCACTTGTGTGTGTGTGTGTGTGTGTCCTGTCTCACTTGTGTGTGTCTGTGTGTGTGTCCTGTCTCACTTGTGTGTGTGTCTGTGTGTGTCCTGTCTCACTTGTGTGTGTGTGTGTGTGTCTGTGTGTGTCCTGTCTCACTTGTGTGTGTGTGTGTGTGTGTCTGTCTGTGTGTGTCCTGTCTCACTTGTGTGTGTGTGTGTGTCTGTGTGTGTCCTGTCTCACTGTGTGTGTGTGTGTGTGTGTCTGTGTGTGTCCTGTCTCACTTGTGTGTGTGTGTGTGTGTGTGTCCTGTCTCACGTGTGTGTGTGTGTTTGTGTGTGCAGGGTTCATCCTCGCCTCATGTGTCTGTTCGGACAGGAAGTGGAACAGGCCGAGTCGTCTGCGTCCTGCGGCTGCATCTGACGCTCTGAGACCCCGGGGCCCCTGAGACACTCGGCCCCTCACACCCCGGGGCCCCTGAGACACTCGGCCCCTCACACCCCGGGGCCCCTGAGACACTCGGCCCCTCACACCCCCGGGGCCCCTGAGACGCTCGGCCCCTCACACCCCCGGGCCCCTGAGACACTCGGCCCCTCACACCCCGGGGCCCCTGCTCTCCACTGTGCCCTAACTCCCGACATGCACTGCATCTGTAACCTGCTGTTCTGTCTCACGTCTGTTAAATCTCCCGTAGACAAAGTCGGTCGGTGGTTTTCAGATTCTAAACTGTGATGACGTCAGACGTCCAGACGGAGGCGCAACAGACAGAGTTTCCTATTGATAATTTTGTATTTTGCCATTATTATATTAGTTTGTTACATAAAACTATAAATAAATATACGTTTATTTTGTAATGAGAGGATTTTGTCGCTGTAATAAAAGCTGAATCTGCAGAAGTGTCAGAGTCCTCACTTTGTAAAACACATGATTGATGCTTCATTCCACAGCGCAAGTTTTATTAAATTCTGCCTCAGTTTTCTAAATTCTTGCTCCTTTTTGTCTTAAAACATGAAAAACAAATCTGGATCATTATAAACAGTTTGCAGTTGTCCAGACTTCTTTCTTCGTCCCTTCCTTTGTGCGTTAAGAGCGTCCTCATTATTCACCACGACGAGTTTATAATCACTTTTAACAACTGTCAGAGACCAGACCCTTAACAACTAGCATGCTAACAGCACACTTCCTAGTAAAAAAAAACATCATAAGCAGAGATCGACCCGTGTGTTTTATTTCATCTGATTTTATTCAAACAAATCTTCAGCATTTTCTGTTTGAACATTATAAAACTTCTGTCCCTGGGTTGGACGAGGCCGGTCCCCAAAACACACTTTGGCTCTTTTCTCAAACTCAAAACGCTCTGTTCCACCTCGTGATGTCATCAAGTGGTGATACAAGAAGGAAGTGCTCCACTGTGTTTTTAAACTCCACACACCTTCACTAGAATCATTTGGGTGATTTAGGTCCTGGAAATCTCAATAATCTGTGTGTCGTTTGTTCATTCATTTTTCAAAATAAAAACAAAAATAAGAAAACAAAAAAAAAAAAAATCTTAATTATTTGTCTCCAAAACAGATAACGGCAGTTTTCCGTTTCCGTGACAAACTGCGATGCCGGACTTTTGCGTCGCAGATGGACTGAAGCAGGACTAAACCAGAACTAAAACAGGACTAAACCATTTTCAGTCCTTGTCTGGTCCTGGTCTGGTCCTGATCTGGCCCCAGTCTCAGTCCTGGTCCCGAACTCAGTCCTGGTCTGGTCTTGATCTACATCCTGGTCTGAGTTCTGGTCTGGTCCTGGACCTGGTTTAGACCCGGTTCTAACCTGGTTCAGTCCCAGTTTAGTCCCGGTTCAGACCCGGTTTAAACCCGGTTTAGACCCGGCTCAAACCTGATTCAGTCCCGCTTCAGTCCCGGGTTTAGTCCTGGTTCAGTCACGGTTTAGTCCTGGTTCAGTCCCGGGTTTAGTCCTGGTTCAGTCCCGGGTTTAGTCCTGGTTCAGTCAGGGTTTAGTCCTGGTTCAGTCCCGGTTTAGTCCTGGTTCAGTCCCGGAGTCCAGTCCGGTTTAGTCCTGGTTCAGTCCCGGTTCAGTTTAGTCCTGGTTCAGTCCCGGGTTTAGTCTGGTTCAGTCCCGGTTTAGTCCTGGTTCAGTCCCGGGTTTAGTCCTGGTTCAGTCCGGTTTAGTCCTGGTTCAGTCCGGTTTAGTCCGGTTTTAGTCCTGGTTCAGTCCTGGTTTAGTCGGTTTAGTCCTGGTTCAGTCCGGTTTAGTCCTGGTTCAGTCCCTGGTTTAGTCCTGGTTCAGTCGGTTTAGTCCTGGTTCAGTCACGGTTTAGTCCTGGTTCAGTCCTGGTTTAGTCCTGGTTCAGTCAGTCCTGGTTCAGTCAGGTTTAGTCCTGGTTCAGTCCTGGTTTAGTCCTGGTTCAGTCACGGTTTAGTTTAGTCCTGGTTCAGTCCGTTATCTGTTTTTTTCCATTTTTCATTTAAACCCAAAATCAAAAACTGAAAAAAACAAATCATTATCTGTTTTTTCATTTTAGTTTTGGAGACAAATAATGAAGAAAATAGTTGTTTTTTTTCGTTTTCTTATTTTTCATTTTAATAAAAAAAAAAGGTAAATGAACGAATAACACATGGATTGCCGATCTCTTCTGAACTAGAGGTAAAAGGAGTTCACTGTTCACTTGAAACCTGCCACTTCATGACATCACAAGTTGGTTTTTGAGGAGGGAACATCTTAAACGCGGCTTAAAGCTCATAATTGGCAATTTTGTGTAATTTAAAACCTTAAAAAAAACAAATGACGTTCAGACTGCAGGGCTTGATGCTCAACTCAGATTTTTTTGTGAAATACGATTTTTTTTCGAGCTCGTTCACATTTCCAATTAAATGTTCAGAGTTTACAGAAGTCGACTAAACTCCAGGCTCGTCTCACAAAATCTGGTCCAGTTGTTGGTAAAATGTTCTGGTCACACGTCCACGGCCGCTTCGTTTGTTTGAGTCTTTATCCTCGTTGGATTTGACTCAGATTCTTTATTTTTTCATTGATGAGTTTGTATTTCTGAGTTTGAATGTTTTAACTCTGAAAAAAACATGTTTGAATTATTTTTATTCTGAATTTTAAGTTGCTGAAACGTTCTATTTTGTGCGTGTACATTTTCAATATGTTTCAAATTCAAATAATGAAAAAAAAAACACCTTTTAAATATTCAACACAAATATTTTCAAGTCCTCAAATTCAACAGTCAAAAAGTGTAAAATTCCGAGTCTTTTTACACGACGACACTTGTGGGTCAAAAGGACAAAATATTTTATGGGAAGTGTTTTTCGTTTAGACGATGACGACGTTTTTGGGGGCTTAAAAACACAAAAATCTGAAAACACACACTTTTGCGTCGATTCCGTCTAATAAAAAGTGAAGACGCGACACCACTTTTGCGTCTTCTGTTCGAAACCTCAGAGCGTAAAATTTGCAGTGAAAAAAATTCGCAGCAAAGATCCAAAACACCAAGATGGAATTTGAATTTGAGGCGTGAAAATATCCGCGCTGAATATTTAACATTTGAATTTTTTTTATATTGAATTTTAAACACTTTACAAACGTGCATTTAAAATTTCAGTGACTAAAATTCAGAATAAAAATAATTCAAACATGTTAAAAAATTCAGTCAGTGAGAAATTTGACTGCAATTAAAATTCTAAATCTGATTTGAGTCACTTCAGTCTGAACGGAGATTTAGTTTGCGTCTAGAACGAGTCACAGAACAGAAAAATAATCAACATTTTTCCGTCAGTGCAAAGAAAAAGTCTCTGATAAATAAACATTGACTCCAAAAACGCTCGTCTCGTCTGAGTGAGAAGTTGATGTGGTGATTTTGGGGCCAAGTCTCGGTTGAAGGTTGAAGTGTCACAGATGAGCTACAAGGAGAGCGCAGAAAAATAAATAGATAATAAAACTCTTTTTGGTTTAAATCTGTTTCACAATTTCACTTTAAGAATTAAAAAAAAGTAGAATAAAAAACTTTGAGCAGGAACCACGAGGCCCACAGTGTCTCTGATGTTCCGATGGAGAACTTCACTCTGGTGGAACATCAAGGTCTGACAGGAGACACACCAGGTTCCTCCAGGTTCCCTCAGGTTCCTCCAGATTGCTCCAGGTTTCCTCCAGATTTCTCCAAGTTCTTCAAAGTTCCTCTAGGTTCCTCCAGGTTCCCTCAGGTTACTCCAGATTGCTCCAGGTTCCCCCAGGTTCCTCCAAGTTCTTCCAGGTTCCTCCAGATTTCTCCAAGTTCTTCCAGGTTCCTCCAGGTTCCCTCAGGTTCCTCTAGGCTCCTCTAGATTTGTCCAGGATCCTCCAGGTTCCCTCAGGTTTCTTCAGGTTCCTCCAGGTTCCTCCAGGTTCCTCCAGGATCCTCCATGTTCCTCCAGGTTCCTCGGTCCACACAGAGACTTCCCCGGGGCTGCTTTGGTTCCTGCTCTTTGGTCTGAGCTCGTTCAGTGCGGTCAGTAGTGCAGTCATACAGCAGGTCCTCCTCAGCTCCTCTTCTGCTTAAGTTAAGTCCTCCCCACCCAGAGGAGACATGGAGACGGTTCCTTGTGTCTCTCTCTGTCTTCTGAGCGTGGAAGTACGAGAAGATCCGGAACCCAAGATGTCGAGGATTTAAAAAGTTCTAAAAAGTTCACATTGTAAAAATACAGAAAAATCCTAAAAAAATCTGACGTTTGTAGAAGCCGGAAAATTCACAAAAAACTGCTCTGTGCTCCGTAGAGGTGGGGTCGGGGGTCAGGTACATTGTGTTCTACGGGAGAATTCTGTTCGGGGTGCAGTTCCACCAGTCGGCGTCGCTCCAGGTCGGAGGGGGAGGGGCTTATCCAGAAGGTCTTATTATAGATCCAAACTTCTGAGCCAAGAAACGCTACGATTTTGAGGAAGCGAAGAAACGTAACGGGACACGCCCACTTTCAGTTCCCCCCCCCCCCCAAAGGTCAGAGGTCACAGGAGATTTCCCCCCCCCGCGGTGTGAGCCCAGAGCGAGGCCCAGAGTTCGTCAGAGGAGCAGAGAACCAGCAGGAGGTCAGTTCTTTTTAAGCGGAGGTCGGTGAAGAGTTCTGGAGTCAGAGGACGCCCCTGCCGCGTGCCCCCCCTCGGCGAGTACCCCCCCTCCTTGGCGAGCGCCCGTCCCGTTAGGAGAAGCTCTCTCGGGGGCCCAGCTTTGGCACGTAGTCCCAGCTGTCCCTGTGAAGCTTCTTGTGCTCCCGCTCCCGCTTAAAGAAACCGGCCTGAAACACAAAACAAAAACACACGAGGATGAACGGACCGTGATTGTTCTGCCAATGATCATTTGTATTTTAGACGCAATATCCACCACCAATGAGGAGCACCACTGGTTTAGATGTTCCTCAGGTGTAAATAAAAGTTCAGATGTTCCTCAGGTGTAAATAAAAGTTTAGATGTTCCTCAGGTGTAAATAAAAGTTTAGATGTTCCTCAGGTGTAAATAAAAGTTTAGATGTTCTTCACGTGTAAATAAAAGTTTAGATGTTCCTCTGGTGTAAATAAAAGTTTAGATGTTCTTCAGGTGTAAATAAAAGTTTAGATGTTCCTCAGGTGTAAATAAAGTTTAGATGTTCCTCAGGTGTAAATAAAAGTTTAGATGTTCCTCAGGTGTAAATAAAAGTTTAGATGTTCCTCTGGTGTAAATAAAAGTTTAGATGTTCCTCAGGTGTAAATAAAAGTTTAGATGTTCTTCACGTGTAAATAAAAGTTTAGTTCTTCAGGTGTAAATAAAAGTTCAGATGTTCTTCACGTGTAAATAAAAGTTTAGATGTTCTTCAGGTGTAAATAAAAGTTTAGATGTTCTTCAGGTGTAAATAAAAGTTTAGATGTTCTTCAGGTGTAAATAAAAGTTTAGATGTTCCTCAGGTGTAAATAAAAGTTTAGATGTTCTTCAGGTGTAAATAAAAGTTTAGATGTTCTCAGGTGTAAATAAAAGTTTAGATGGTGTAAATAAAAGTTAGATGTTCCTTCAGGTGTAAATAAAAGTTTAGATGTTCTTCAGGTGTAAATAAAAGTTCAGATGTAGGTGTAAATAAAAGTTTAGATTTCCAGGTGTAAATAAAAGTTTAGATGTTCTTCAGGTGTAAATAAAAGTAGATGTTCAAAATAAAAGTTCAGATGTTCCTCAGGTGTAAATAAAAGTTTAGATGTTCCTCAGGTGTAAATAAAAGTTTAGATGTTCTTCACGTGTAAATAAAAGTTTAGATGTTCAGGTGTAAATAAAAGTTTAGATGTTCTTCAGGTGTAAATAAAAGTTTAGATGTTCAGTGTAAATAAAAGTTTAGATGTTTCGGTGTAAATAAAAGTTTAGATGTTCTTCAGGTGTAAATAAAAGTTTAGATGTTCAGGTGTAAATAAAAGTTTAGATGTTCGTAAATAAAAGTTTAGATGTTTCCTCAGGTGTAAATAAAAGTTTAGTGTAAATAAAAGTTTAGTGTTCTCAGGTGTAAATAAAGTTTAGATGTTCAGGTGTAAATAAAAGTTAGATGTTCTTCAGGTGTAAATAAAAGTTTAGATGTTCCAGGTGTAATAAAGTTTAGATGTTCCTCTGGTGTAAATAAAAGTTAGATGTTCCTCAGGTGTAAATAAAAGTTTAGATGTTCCACGTGTAAATAAAAGTTTAGATGTTCAGGTGTAAATAAAAGTAGGTGTAAATAAAAGTTTAGATGTTCAGGTGAAATAAAAGTTTAGATGTTCAGGTGTAAATAAAAGTTTAGATGTTCAGGTGTAAAATAAAAGTTTAGATGTTCGGTGTAAATAAAAGTTATGTTCAAAGGTGTAAATAAAAGTTTAGTGTTCAGTGTACACCAGGTGTAAATAAAAGTTTAGATGTTCAGGTGTAAATAAAAGTTTATTCAGGTGTAAATAAAAGTTAGATGTTCTTCAGGTGTAAATAAAAGTTTAGATGTTCTTCAGGTGGTTTAGATGTTCAGGTGTAAATAAAAGTTCAGCAGAAATAAAAGTTTAGATGTTCCAGGTGTACACAGGTGCAAAAGTTTAGATGTTCCTCAGGTGTAAATAAAAGTTGATGTTCTTCAGGTGTAAATAAAAGTTTAGATGTTCCAGTGTAAATAAAAGTTTAGATGTTCCTCAGGTGTAAAAAAAGTTTAGATGTTCCTCAGTGTAAATAAAAGTTTAGATGTTGTTCAGGTGTAAATAAAAGTTTAGATGTTCCTCAGGTGTAAATAAAAGCGTGGCGAGTACCTTCCAGAGGCAGTAGATGAGCACAGACAGGATGAGGAGGCCCAGGTGCAGACTGACCACGAGCAGCAGAACTCTGACCGTTGCAGAGGGTTTGTGTGAGAACAGCGCCACCACCTGGACCTGCACACACAGCACAAAGGTCAGACACAACACGCCTCACACACACCGAGCTTTTACCTTCAGCATTTTTAAAACCTGAACATGTGCAAGATTCATTTATTGACTCAAGAAAAAGCAATTTGTACCACACAAGATACATGTAATAGTACATGTAATAGTACATGTAATAGTACATGTAATAGTACATGTAATAGTACGTGGAGTAATGTAATAGTACATGTAATAGTGTAATAGTACATGTAATAGTACATGTAATAGTACATGTAATAGTACGTGGAGTAATGTAATAGTACATGTAATAGTACATGTAATAGTACATGTAATAGTACGTGGAGTAATGTAATAGTACATGTAATAGTACATGTAATAGTGTAATAGTACATGTAATAGTACATGTAATAGTGTAATAGTACATGTAATAGTACATGTAATAGTACATGTAATGTAATAGTACATGTAATAGTACATGTAGTACATGTAATAGTACATGTAATAGTACATGTAATAGTACATGTAATAGTGTAATAGTACATGTAATAGTACATACAGCAGTGTATGTACATGGAGTAGTGGAACATGTCATGAGTGTGTGCAGTGTGTCCTGTCTGTACAGTTTGTGTAAACACTGTGTGTGTATGTTCTGTTTTTGTACCTGCAGGGGACATAAACTAAATAAATAAAATGATGAAATACCTGAGCGTCTCTCTGTTCACTGGTCAACACTGTGTACTGATCCTCCTCTGGACGAGACACAAACGCCACAGTCTCCAACTTCATCACACTGTGTCGACCCTGAAACACACAGACACAGACGATCATGTGACCTCATGTAGTTCGACCTCCAGCAGGTGAGCAGGTGTGTGATGTTAAACAAGTCCCTCTCAAAAAAACAGTATCCAACAGTTTTTTTTGTCCCTCTCACTTTTTAGCTGAAAATCAAACTCGTAAACAGAACCATAAAGACTCACACTGATCACAGGAAAATTAAGTCTGTTTTGTATATATACATTTTGTTTTTATACTTTTTCCTTGAGCTTTTAATATAACTTTTTGTCTGTGTTTGTTAGAGTGTGTGTCGTGTCACCATGGTAACCACTAAAGATGACCACACACGTGTATGTAGAGCGCCCCCTGCGTGTGCGTACCGGCGCCTGCAGCAGCACGGCCGGGTTCAGGCTCGTCTCCAGGTGGAGGGTGGCGACTCTTCCCGCCTCCAGGGGCCCCAGGTGACAGACCAGACGCTCACACAGAGGGTCCCGGGGCCCGCAGAACTGCACAGAACACACAACAACAACAGAGCGCCATGACGACTTCATGTACGCCACTCCACAGATCTGATACTGGGATCGGATATCGACTTCCAAATACGACGATATTCTGGTTGGATAAAATCACAGCTTTATACAAGAGGTGTAGGGAGTATTATCTGTTACATAAGGGTGAGTTGTACAGTTGTAGGGAGTATTATCTGAGTTTTGTACAGTTGTAGGGAGTATTATCTGAGTTTTTGTACAGTTGTAGGGAGTATTATCTGTTACATAATGGTGAGTTGTACAGTTGTAGGGAGTATTATTTGAGTTGCTGTACAGTTGTAGGGAGTATTATCTGAGTTTTGTACAGTTGTAGGGAGTATTATCTGAGTTTTTGTACAGTTGTAGGGAGTATTATCTGATACATAAGGATGAGTTGTACAGTTGTAGGGAGTATTATCTGTTAAAAAGCTGTTCTGTTGTTTCTTGAGAGAAAAATCACAGCTCCCTCAAATGTTTTGTTCAGTTTTGTCTTATTTTATTTTTATTTTAAGTAAATAAAATCTGTTTTCAGTCTCTGCTCTGAGTGTGTTTGTGTGTGTGCGTGTGTGCGCGTGTGTTTGTGTGTTTTTTTGCGTTACCAGGAGGCGTGTCGTTGGCGGAGAGAAGAAGAAGACGAGCTGCTGCAGAAACGAGGCGTGAGGGACCGTACAGTCGTCCACCACCGAGAGCACCCTGTCCCCGAGGGAGCACCTGCCCTGAGACACCTACAACACACACACGGGTACTCACAAATACACAACCAACACCTACAAAACACACACAGGTACTCACAAATACACAACCAACACCTGCAACACACACACAGGTACTCACAAATACACAACCAACACCTACAACACACACACAGGTACTCACAAATACACAACCAACACCTACAACACACACACACAGGTACTCACAAATACACAACCAACACCTACAACACACACACACAGGTACTCACAAATACACAACCAACACCTGCAACACACACACAGGTACTCACAAATACACAACCAACACCTGCAACACACACACAGGTACTCACAAATACACAACCAACACCTACAACACACACACAGGTACTCACAAATACACAACCAACACCTGCAACACACACACAGGTACTCACAAATACACAACCAACACCTACAACACACACACACACACACAGGTACTCACAAATACACAACCAACACCTACAACACACACACGGGTCCTCACAAATACACAACCAACACCTACAACACACACAGGTACTCACAAATACACAACCAACACCTATAACACACACACGGGTACTCCTCACAAATACACAACCACAGCGTTCGGCTCCAGTCAAATGAAGCTCATTGAGGTGGGCAGTTACAGGAGCCAGGTTGATAATAGCAACAGGAATTTATTTACGAACAAAATAGTGAAATAAAAACCCCAGGATCATGTAGAGTGGATTAATACAAAACGATGAGGCTCATAGCAGCAGGTACGGGGGTGGGGGGGTAAAGTGAATTAGAGCCAGAGTTGATGGAGCCGGACGCGCCCCCCCATGCTCACTTCCTGTTTGCAGCTCTACAAAAACAAAGACTACATCCCCGTTTGGATCAATGGAACTGTGTCCCAGGCAGTGTTGGTCCGTCAGGGTCTGTAAGTTCTTCTCTGCTGGCCTATAAAAATCTCTGAATCACAGACTGATGTCAATTATAGGTCTAAACAAGGACTAAATCAGGACTAAACCAGGTCTAATCTTGGACTTGGAGAGAAAGAGTGAGAGAGTGTCTGCAAAGCGTGATCGGGTGACCGCTGCACTGAGCCTCGTGCGGCGTGGAGCACTGGCCCCGGCGTGGTCCTTTCGTCTGCGGTCACCCGACAGTCTACGCGGGCGCACCTTCGGGCCAGTCCGGACAAACAGTCCTGGTTTAGTTCTGGTTTAGTCCTGGTTTAGCACCCCAGCGCTCCTCACTTCCACGACTCTTTATTCTGTGTTTCTGTAGAATAAGACGCTTTTATAACCGTAAATTAATTATTGTGGAGTGGATTGTTTCAGATGAAGCACGACTGAAGGCCGAGGTGTGAAATGCACACGCCACCACTGGTTCCAGGTGTAGCAGATTAGAAGGTTTGCTCTTCAGTCTTTTTTCCATTTAAAGCTACAGTATGTAACTTTCTGGAGGTGGCATGTCACCTGAACAGAAAGTCAAAACTATACTTGGAAACATTCTCCATAAAGATAGTTCTGTTTTATTCACATTAATATTACAGGCAAAGGAACAACATTTCTGTGGAAACAAGCAGACGGCTCCGTTCTGGTTTTAAATTCTGTGTCTCGTGTTTATGTTTTCGTTTTGTCAGACTCTCTCTGCTCTGTATCCCATTAAATGGAATCTCTCCAATTTATGTCTCTCTTTTTTAATTTTAATCTTCATGATTATTTATGTTTTGATTTGTTTTTATTATGATTTTAATGTATGTCTTATTCTGTAAAGCACTTTGAATTACTTTGTGTACGAATTGTGCTGTACAAATAAACTTGCCTTGCCTAAATGCCCTGCTTAGGTCAGCCACACTGTGTCTGTGCTGCCCCCTGGTGTCTGTGCGTCGGTACTGCGCTCTGTACCTGATAGTCTCTGATCTGCAGGAGTCTGTGGGGGTGCGGCACGAGGGTCCGGGGCAGAAGTACTTCCACCACCGTGTCCAGAGAACGACTCGGACCAGAGTTCACAATCTGCAACACATAAACACACACACACACACAAAGACACACACTTTTATTCATTTCCTGGAGACTGACCCGACCCTCCCCATCATCACCACTCGCCTAAACCTTAAACCATAAATGATCTGAACCCACATCTGAACTTTAAACACTGTTGTTGATCTAATAATAAAATATTTGTATCATAGACCTGATTCTGACCGTATAAAAAGGCCGTCTTAGCCGCTGTCATAATAGACTTTTTTCAGGATGGTTGAAGTGTCCCGCTGTAGTTTGTTTGTACCTTGTAGGTGAAGTTGAGTGTCTCTGTGTAACAGTCGACCGGGGCGTAGTCCTGCTCCAGCTCCGAGAAGGTGAAGGACGAGGGGCTCACGTGTCTGTGGAGAAAACACCAGCAGGGGTCAGCACCGAGCGCTCGCACACACACACACACACACACACACACACACACACACACACACACACACAACACACACACACACACACACACACACACACACACACACACACACACACACACACACACACACACACACACACACACACACACACACACACACACACACACACACACACACACACACACACACACACACACACACACACACACACACACACACACACACACACACACACACACACACACACACACACACACACACACACACACACACACACACACACACACACACACACACACACACACACACACACACACACACACACACACACACACACACACACACACACACACACACACACACACACACACACACACACACACACACACACACACACACACACACACACACACACACAAACACACACACACAAACACACACACACACACACACACACACACACACACACACACACACACACACACACACACACACACACACACACACACACACACACACACACACACACACACACACACACACACACACACACACACACACACACACACACACACACACACACACAAACACACACACACACACACACACACACACACAACACACACACACACACACACACACACACACACACACACACACACACACACACACACACACACACACAAACACACACACACACACACACACACACACACACACACACACACACACACACACACACACACACACACACACACACACACACACACACACACACACACACACACACACACACACACACACACACACACACACACACACACACACACACACAAACACACACACACACACACACACACACACACACACACACACACACACACACACACACACAAACACACACACACACACACACACACACAGACACACACACACACACACACACACACACACAAACACACACACACACACACACACACACACACACACACACACACACACACACACACACACACACACACACACACACACACACACACACACACACACACACACACACACAAATACACACACACACACACACACACACACACACACACACACACACACACACACACACACACACACACACACACACAAACACACACACACAAAAACACACACAAACACACACACACACAAACACAAACACAGGAGAGGACAGAGGAGACAGAGGAGACAGAGGACAGAAGAGACAGAGGACAGAGGACAGAGCAGGACTGACCCGTGGATGGACATGTCCATTTCCTGTTTGAGCGGCAGCACCAGACTCACAGAGTTGTCCCCCAGAAAGTCCTCCTTCTCAAAGTTCTCACTGCAGAGGACACAAGACACAGAGGGACAGAGGGACAGAGGGACAGAGGGACAGGGGAGAGAGGAAAAAATATGTACAGTGCCTGACAAAAGTCTTGTCTCTTATCCATTTTGTAGAAACAAAAGCTTATAACCTGACTTTAAATTAATCGATTGGTTTTAGAAACGTCTCATATGAAGCTAAAACCCTCCCAAATTATGCTCAATAAACTAAAATAAATTTGCTTCACTAAAGAAAGATTGATCATTTAATGAACACAGAAAGGTCAGATTTTGGCAAGACAAAAGTTTTGTCGCCTACAGAAAATTGAACAAATAATTTACTTCACATACAAAAACATGTTGCATAACGTCAGTGAATGAAGTAGTGGTGCTGTGAGATCCATGTTTAATATCTTGTATGACTCCATGAGCTTGAAGGACACATCCATGTGGTTCCACAATGATTCATACAATTTGTTGATGAAGTCATCAGGAATAACAAAGAAAGCGTCTTACAGCCTCCCAGAGTTCATCAAGAGTCTTTGGTTTTGCCTCCATGTTTCCTCTTTCATTCTACCCCAGACCTGCTCAATGATGTTCATGTCTGGTGACTGGGCTCCAGTCCTGGAGCACCTTGATCTTCTTCACCTTGACAAACTTTGATGTAGAGATAGAAGTATGTGATGGAGCACCATCCTGCTGCAAAATCTGACCCTTTAATGGTTGGGAATGTAAGAGGAGCTAATACTTCTTGATATTTTAGGTTATTGATATTTGCCTTCCACCCTGCAAATGTCTCACACACCCCCAGACTGGATGGAACCACAGACCAGGATTTTTCCACCACCAAACTTAACTGTTTTCTGGGTGAATCTTGGATCCATGTGGCTCCAGTTGGTCTCCTGCAATATTTGCGGCGGCTGTGATTTAATTCAACTGAGGATTCATCTGAGAAATCCACCTTCTGCCACTTTTCCAGTGTCCATCCTTTTATCAGGCTGTGGGCCTTGGCAAATGCCACACGGTTTTTTAATTGCCTTTTGTTTAGTGCTGGTTTCTGTGCACTGATTCGACCATGGAGGCCATTTCCAGACAGAATTCTACAAACTGTTGTGGTTGACACAGGGACTTGAGGTGACCAGGCCTGGTGGAGTCTGCTGCAGTGGAAAAGGGGCTGGACTTGGATTTTTGAATCAACAAACGGTCCTCCAGAGCAGTTGTCTTGCGGCGTCTGCTGGACCTGGGCTTGTCAAAAAACATCTCCAGTCATTTCAGATCTTTTTCTTATTCTTTGTACTTGACGCTGAGACACATTGAAGGTGTCACCACCTCAGCAGTGGATCTGGTCTTCAGCCTCTTGATAATTAAGGCTTTGGTCTCAGGGTGGATCTTAGGCATGTTGTCAGAGGTCAAGTTGCAGTTGATGTGAAGGTCTGGTTCTGCTGGGTTCTTTTTATACACAAACACTAATTGATTGATCAGTAACTGATCACAGGTGAGGCTGTAATCTAGGATTGGGTGCATCATATGACAAGGCCACAAGACTTTTGTCTTCCCAAAATCTGACCTTTCTGTGTTCATTAAATGATCAATCTTTCTTCAGTGAAGCAATTTTTTTTTGTATATTGAGCATAATTTGGGAGGGTTTTAGCTTCATATGAGACATTTCTAAAACCAATCGATTAATTTAAAGTCAGATTATAAGCTTTTGTTTCTACAAAATGGATAAGCGACAAGACTTTTGTCAGGGACTGTATATTGGTATTCAAAAAAGTAGGTAGAACTTAGAGACCTCCTGTTAAAATATTAAAATACAAGATATCGAGATTCTACATTTGGTGATAAACAAACACAAATCAAGTCTAGTGTGGCTGAACTACCGTATTTTTCAGATTATAAAGGGATTATAAATGTGAATGTGGGTGAATTATTTAAGTTTGTTTTTTTATTTCCTATGAGAACGACTCAAATAAACACTGAGTAATAATGTGTTTAATTCAGCTTTGACACATTTGTTTATGTTTTACAGAAACTAAACTTAAAACCACATGACTCATTTGCATAAACTATAAGCTCTGAAAAAAAAACAGCTCACTCCTTGTGCGCTGATGTGGTTCAGCATCTGTCAGACTAAGGCCTCGTCCACACTAGTGTGTATGTGAGTTGTTTTGATTGTGGGTGCAGTGTTCGTTCACACTAATCTGATAGAAAACGGCTCCAGAGACGGAACGATCTGATCCGGCACTGTGTGACTCCTGAAAACTCTGATACTCTGATGTAGGAGCTGGGGTCTCGTCCTGATTGGACACGTCACTGTGGCTCCTTCTGATTCTCTGGGTTCATGACATCGTCATGTGACGATATTGTGGAAAACACTTTAAACAAACCAGAGACAAACGGGAAAAAGCAGAGATACAGCTGCTTACTACTTTTATATTTGCCATCTTCCTCGGCTCAAAATCGACTGCTGCAACTTCAGACACAGTGCTCCACTTTGTTTTTTCTGCCCACCTGACGACGTGACACCAGCCTCGTCATGTGACTAGTCACGTTTCAGATGGTTTTGTGTTACTGTGTGGATAGGGAACAGACACAGGAACAACATGTCTGGACGCAGTTCGTTTCCAATACGGTGATACGGTGATTCGTTTCAGTGTAAATGAAACCTAAAGCCACCGTAACCCTGACAACAGTCGCCGTAATGTTCGACAATCCACCAAGCGGTGAGTCTTCGTAGTTTACCAAAGTCGTACTAAAACATTTGGACAGATTTGTGAGTGCTGTGTACCACAGAAAATCAGTTTGATGTCAGTAACACAACCAGAATTAATACATAAGGAGCATTGTCATTTTTGGAGAAAATTTCTGGATTTTAAGTGCACCTTATAGTCTGAAAAATACAGTACGTGTAAAAGTTGGCTGCAGTACTTGTAAATGTCCAGGAGGGGGCGGAGCATCTCACCTGCGGCTGCTCAGCTGGAGAGTGATGTCACCAGGTGTGCTGTTGTGGCTCACGTCCAATAGGAAGCTGACGTTGAGCTGCAGGAGGTCACACGGTGGTTAGATCTTTGGATCATTTAGCGTTCTACGTGCGGATGGTGTTAAAGAGGAGGCGGGGCTTACCTGAGCCTCGGCGGGGAGGATGAGCCCCACCAACCCACAGGCCACGCCCACTGTGCTGTTCACCTCCGCGATGATGTCACAGCTCACCGCCGTCTCGTCCTGAAAGAAAAACGAAAAAAGACGAATTCAGTTCTGTCGACGGCTCATTCAGTGAAAAAGGGGCTGAGCGGCATGGTTCAGTCCTGGATAAATCCTGGCTTAGTCCTGGTTTTAGACCTGGTTTAGACCTGTTTTAGACCTGGTTTAGTCCTGGTTTTAGACCTGGTTTAGACCTGTTTTAGTCCTGGTTTTAGTCCTGGTTTTAGACCTGTTTTAGACCTGTTTTTAGTCCTGGTTTTAGTCCTGGTTTTAGACCTGGTTTAGACCTGTTTTAGTCCTGGTTTTAGTCCTGGTTTTAGACCTGTTTTAGACCTGTTTTAGACCTGTTTTTAGTCCTGGTTTTAGACCTGTTTTAGACTTGGTTTAGTCCTGGTTTAGACCTGGTTTAGACCTGGTTTAAGACCTGTTTTTAAACCAGTTTTAGATCTGGTTTTGTCCTGGTTTAGACCTGTTTTAGACCTGGTTTAGTCCTGGTTTAGACCTGTTTTAGTCCTGTTTTTAGACCTGTTTTAGTCCTGGTTTAGTTCTGGTTTAGTTCTGGTTTAGTCCTGGTTTAATGGTGAAGTCGCGTACCAGAGAGAAAAGCTGGAAAATTTTAGAAAAATCATTTGAATCCTTTAAAATCAGCTGAAGAGTTTGTTTACTTTTTACTCTTACATTTTTAAACAGGTACTTCTATACTTTTACTCAAGTAGATTGTTTCATATGATACTTTTACTTTTACTTGAGTATTTTTCAAACCCTTGTATGTGTACTTTTACTTGAGTACCCGTGCGTGTCGTGACTCACCGTGTGCACGCGCACGTACTGCACGGCGGGCGGGAACAGGAGGGTGAGGCGCGGTAAGAAGGCGTCGTCTCCGCCGTTCACCACCGACGCGTTCAACATGAAGCTCCGCCCCCAACCCAGAGGGAAGTACGGACGCCCGCTGAGGACAAAACACACGAGATAATACTCCCTACAACTGTACAACGACTCATATAATACTCCCTACAACTGTACAACGACTCATATAATACTCCCTACAACTGTACAACGACTCATATAATACTCCCTACAACTGTACGGCAACTCAGATAATACTCCCTACAACTGTACAACAACTCATATAATACTCCCTACAACTGTACAACGACTCATATAATACTCCCTACAACTGTACAACGACTCATATAATACTCCCTACAACTGTACGGCAACTCAGATAATACTCCCTACAACTGTACAAACTCAGATAATACTCCCTACAACTGTACAACAACTCAGATAATACTCCCTACAACTGTACAACGACTCATATAATACTCCCTACAATGTACTCATATAATACTCCCTACAACTGTACGGCAACTCAGATAATACTCCCACTACACACTGTACGGCAACTCAGAAAATACTCCTACACAACTGTACACAACTAGATAAATACTCCCTACAACTGTACAAAACTCAGATAATACTCCCTACAACTGTACAACAATAATACTCCCTACAACTGTACGGCAACTCAGATAATACTCCCTACAACTGTACGGCAACTCAGATAATACTCCCTACAACTGTACACACGACTCATATAATACTCCCTACAACTGTACGGCAACACTCAGATAATACTCCCTACAACTGTACAACAACTCAGATAATACTCCCTACAACTGTACAACGACTCATATAATACTCCCTACAACTGTACGGCAACTCAGATAATACTCCCTACAACTGTACACAACTCAGATAACCCTACAAACTGAACAACTAATACTCCCTACAACTGTACAACAACTCAGATAATACTCCCTACAACTGTACAACAACTCAGATAATACTCCCTACAACTGTACGGCAACTCAGATAATACTCCCTACAACTGTACAACAACTCAGATAATACTCCCTACAACTGTACGACAACTCAGATAATACTCCCTACAACTGTACAACAGCTCAGATAATACTCCCTACAACTACAACTGTACAACAACTCAGATAATACTACTCCTGTACAACTGTACAACAACTCAGATAATACTCCCTACAACTGTACAACAACTCAAACTCCTACAACTCAGATAATACTCCCTACAACTGTACAACAACTCCCTAGATATAATACTCCCTACAACTGTACGGCAACTCAGATAATACTCCCTACAACTGTACACAACTCACTCAACTACACTACTCCAAACTGTACACAGATAATACTCCCTACAACTGTACACAACTCAGAATAATACTCCCTACAACTGTACAACAACTCAGATAATACTCCTACAACTTACAACTGTTCCTATTTCAATTTATACTCCCTACAAACTCGTCCTTATTTCACAGATAATACTCCCTATTTAGGCGACTGTTCCTATTTTTTTACATTAATTTTGACTTGTACAAAGCCTGAATTTTGAGGCAATTTTTCATCTTTATCTCATTTACTCCAAAATTAAATAAACTCTAAAATAAATAAATAAATAAAAATAATAATTTAAAAAATTGTACAAGTCTTAAACTGCGTCTGGACGTTTCCTCCTCCGTCTGTATGTTCACGTTTGTGTATTTGTGTATTTCTCCGTCTGTCCACCAGAGGTCGCTGCAGCGCTGTACTTACCCGGGCAGGTCGAGCTGAGCCGAGAGCTGCAGGTCCGAGGAGCAGTCGTCAAGGAGACAGGAGCGAGAGAAGAGCGTCTGAAAAACCCGCAATAAAACTTTAACATGAGACCAACAGAGTCTGAGGTTAAAGGTCAAATATCACACAAAAAAACTGACTCTTGTCGCTTTAAGTCGTGTGCTAAATTAATGTTAACTCTTTATTATTCGTCTGTTTACATCTACAAACCTCAAAACGCTCTGTTCCACCTTGTGATGTCATGAAGTGGTAGTTTTAAAGTGAACAACTCCTTTAACGGAAGATAATTTGTTCCATTAAATTTTAAACACCACTGACTTTCTCACTTTGAAAATATTAAACTCTGAATTACAGATGTTTGAATTCTAGCTGCTGAAATTTTATGTTTATATTTATATATTTATATTATATATTTCTGTGTACAGAGTTTAAAATTCTAAATTTAAATTTCACCTTAGTTAGACTGGATCATTTTGGATTGATGTTTATGTCTCGGCGTCTCGGATTTTTGTTGCATTTTTAATTTTTTTTCATTGCAAATTTTACATTCTGAAATTTACACTCTGAATAAAAAATAAAAGCCTCACAGAAAGTCATAATTATGAGTTTAAAAGTCATAATTATGAGTTTAAAATTCATAATTATGAGTTTAAACTTTTATTTCTCATTTACAAGCAGAAATGAGCTTTTATAGAATTTTAACAGTTTGAATTTGAGGCTTGAAAATATTTGCTGAATATTAAAAAACTGACATTTTTATTTTGAATTTTAAACACTTTCAAAAATGTACACTTAAAATTTCAGCAAAATAAAAATAATTCAGAGTTAAAAAAAAAAAAAAAAATTCAAAGTGAGAAATTCTATGTAATTTAAAATTTAAAATTGACCGAAATAAATAATCTTCCATTTCCTTTTGCCTTTAGTTCAGTAAAGATTTGCAATTCCGAGTTTGAAATGATTCTAGTGAAGGTGTGTGGAGTTTAAAAACACAGTGGAGCACTTCTTGTATCACCACAAGGTTCACAAGTTCAAACCTTAATTTAACTAAATAAATCTGTTGTTTTTATTTATTAATTTAATCGTAACTATTGTGTCATTGTTTTTGTGCGTGGTTTGTCTGTTGTTGGAAAGAGTTTGTGTCGAAATCAAGTTGGAAATTTTGAAATTCCACAAAGTCACCACAAAGAAATTCCTGGAAACACAGAACTTTTTTTTTTTTTTTAACCATTTGAATTAATAAAAAATAATCTGCAAATATATTCAACTCATTTTTCCACATATATAAAATTGTAAAAAAAATATATAAAATTGTAAAAAAAATAAAAACACAAAACTTAAATGATATTCTGCTGTATTAAATTTTATATTTATATTTTAGAGTTTATTATTCGAGAGTAAAAAGTTGTGCACTTTGATGAGAGGAAGTGACCTGGGTTTTCTCCGCCCACAGGAACAGGAACAGGAAGTGGTTGGCGGGTTCGGCCTCATCAACCCAAAAACCAACATTTTTATTTTTACTCATTTCAACTTTTCTCTAGTGTGACTTTAAACAGCTAGGACTAAACCAGGACTAAACCAGGACTAAACCAGGACTAAACCAGGACTAAACCAGGACTAAACCAGGTCTAAATCAGGACTAAACCAGGACTAAACCAGGACTAAACCAGGACTAAACCAGGACTAAACCAGGACTAAACCAGGACTAAACCAGGACTAAACCAGGACTAAACCAGGACTAAACCAGGTCTAAATCAGGACTAAACCAGGACTAAACTAAACCAGGACTAAAAGGACCAGGACTAAACCAGGACTAAACCAGGACTAAACCAGGAAAACTAAACCAGGACTAAACCAGGACTCCAGGACTAAATCAGGACTAAACCAGGACTAAACCAGGACTAAACCAGGACTAAATCCAGGACTAAACCTAAACCAGGACTAAACCAGGACTAAACCAGGACTAAACCAGGACTAAACCAGGACTAAACCAGGACTAAACCAGGACTAAACCAGGTCTAAATCAGGACTAAACCAGGACTAAACCAGGACTAAACCAGGTCTAAATCAGGACTAAACCAGGACTAAACCAGAACTAAACCAGGACTAAACCAGGTCTAAATCAGGACTAAAACCAGGACTAAACCAGGACTAAACCAGGACTAAAACCAGGACTAAACCAGGACTAAACTAAATCCAGGACTAAACCAGGACTAAACCAGGACTAAACTAAATCAGGACTAAACCAGGACTAAACCAGGACTAAACCAGGACTAAACCAGGTAAATCAGGACTAAACCAGGACTAAACCAGGTCTAAATCAGGACTAAACCAGGACTAAACCACCAGGACTAAACCAGGACTAAAACCAGGTCTAAATCAGGACTAAACCAGGACTAAACCAGGTCTAAATCAGGACTAAACCAGGACTAAACCAGGACTAAACCAGGACTAAACCAGGTCTAAATCAGGACTAAACCAGGACTAAACCAGGACTAAACCAGGACTAAACCAGGTCTAAATCAGGACTAAACCAGGACTAAACCAGGTCTAAATCAGGACTAAAACCAGGACTAAACCAGGACTAAACCAGGACTAAACCAGGACTAAACCAGGTCTAAATCAGGACTAAACCAGGACTAAACCAGGTCTAAACCAGGACTAAACCAGGTCTAAATCAGGACTAAACCGGGACTAAACAGGGACTAAACCAGGACTAAACCAGGTCTAAACCAGATCTAAACCAGGTCTTAATGAGGACTAAACCAAGACTAAACAGGGACTAAACCAGGTCTAAACCAGGACTAAATCAGGACTAAATCAGGTCTAAACCAGGACTAAACAGGGACTAAACCAGGACTAAACCAGGTCTAAACCAGGTCTAAACCAGGTCTAAATCAGGACTAAACCAGGACTAAACAGGGACTAAACCAGGACTAAACCAGGACTAAATCAGGACTAAATCAGAACTAAATCAGGACTAAACCAGGACTAAACTGAGTCTAAACCGAGTCTAAACCAGGACTAAACCAGGTCTAAACCAGGTCTAAACCAGGACTAAACCAGGACTAAATCAGGTCTAAATCAGGACTAAACTGAGTCTAAACTGAGTCTAAACCAGGACTAAATCAGGACTAAACCAGGTCTAAATCAGGACTAAACTGAGTCTAAACTGAGTCTAAACCAGGACTAAAGCAGGACTAAACCAGGACTATATAGGTATAAAAACACAATTCTGACTGTGAGCGGTATCGCCTCTCCACAGATCTGACCTGTAACCTGGCTTGGCTTGGTCTCCGTGAAGACAGAAAGGTTTAAAGCCGCACTGTGGAACATTCCAGACAAATCAGTAACATCTCCATGGAGAAAAACAAGAAGCATCTGAAGTTCATCAAATTCTAAAGCGCGAAAACATCATCTACCGATACTTTACAGTGACAACACACTGGGGGTGCTCTACATGCGTGTCCGTGGTGGAATGTTCAGCAGTTACCACGGTGACAGGACGCACACATGAGCAAGGGTCGTCTCACAGTTTCTTGGATTTTTTTGGTGCAATTTTGCAATTTTTTACAGCATATGAACGTGTATTGTGTATTACAGGCGGGTAGTAATTACACACGGGTGAGTCAGGACTAAACCAGGACTAAACCAGGACTAAACCAGGACTAAACCAGGACTAAACCAGGACTAAACCAGGTCTAAAACCAGGTCTAAACCAGGACTAAATCAGGACTAAAACCAGGACTAAACCAGGTCTAAACCAGGACTAAATCAGGACTAAATCAGGACTAAACCAGGTCTAAACCAGGACTAAACCAGGACTAAACCAGGTCTAAACCAGGTCTAAACCAGGACTAAATCAGGACTAAATCAGGACTAAACCAGGTCTAAACCAGGTCTAAACCAGGTCTAAACCAGGTCTAAACCAGGACTAAATCAGGACTAAATCAGGTCTAAACCAGGTCTAAACCAGGTCTAAACTAGGTCTAAACCAGGACTAAATCAGGACTAAATCAGGACTAAATCAGGACTAAACCAGGACTAAACCAGGACTAAATCAGGTCTAAACCAGGACTAAACCAGGACTAAATCAGGTCTAAACCAGGTCTAAACCAGGTCTAAACCAGGTCTAAACCAGGACTAAATCAGGACTAAATCAGGACTAAACCAGGTCTAAACCAGGTCTAAACCAGGTCTAAACCAGGTCTAAACCAGGACTAAATCAGGACTAAATCAGGTCTAAACCAGGTCTAAACCAGGTCTAAACCAGGTCTAAACCAGGTCTAAACCAGGACTAAATCAGGACTAAATCAGGACTAAACCAGGTCTAAACCAGGTCTAAACTAGGTCTAAACCAGGACTAAATCAGGACTAAATCAGGACTAAATCAGGACTAAACCAGGACTAAACCAGGACTAAACCAGGTCTAAACCAGGTCTAAACCAGGTCTAAACCAGGACTAAACCAGGTCTAAACCAGGACTAAATCAGGTCTAAACCAGGACTAATCTTGGACTAAACCAAGACTAAACAGGGACTAAATCAGGACTAAACCAGGATTAAACTGAGTCTAAACCGAGTCTAAACCAGGTCTAAACCAGGACTAAACCAGGACTAAATCAGGACTAAATCAGGTCTAAACTGAGTCTAAACCGAGTCTAAACCAGGTCTAAACCAGGTCTAAACCAGGACTAATCTTGGACTAAACCAAGACTAAACAGGGACTAAATCAGGACTAAACCAGGACTAAACTGAGTCTAAACCGAGTCTAAACCAGGTCTAAACCAGGACTAAACCAGGACTAAATCAGGACTAAATCAGGTCTAAACCAGGACTAAACCAGGTCTAAACCAGGACTAAACCAGGTCTAAACCAGGTCTAAACCAGGACTAAACCAGGACTAATCTTGGACTTAAGAGAGAAAACACCGAGCAGTTTGTCCGCAAAGCGCGATCGGGCAACTGCCGCGTTTAACTCCGTGAGGTGCGGAGCTGAGCCGGTCCTTTCTCCTGTGTCACCTCCAAGACCGTCCTGACACTGAGTCCTGGTTCAGTTCTGGTTTAGTCCTGGTTCAGTCATGGATTAGTCCTCCTCTTCAGTCCTGGAATCAGTCCTGGTTTAGTCTTGGTTCAGTCCGTGGTGTAGGCAGCGCAAAAGTTTGATATAATCTCGGGTTAACGGGCAGGTGCGGTCCTGTCCTGCGCAGGTGCGGTCCTGTCCTGCGCAGGTGCGGTCCTGTACTGCGCAGGTGCGGTCCTGTCCTGCGCAGGTGCGGTCCTGTACTGCGCAGGTGCGGTCCTGTCCTGCGCAGGTGCGGTCCTGTACTGCGCAGGTGCGGTCCTGTACTGGGGGTCTCCAAAAATGGCCCCGTGCAGGACTCTGTGCTGTCGGCTACATTATGGAATAAATGAATCTTCAGTTTGTTACATAAAGAGGAAAATAACAAAAGGACGACATCAGCAACAAGTTTTAAGAAGGAAGTAAAAAGGGTTGCACCTGTCGATCCTGTCTGAGAAAAGTGTATAAAGTTTGTGCTGAGGTTTTACAGACTTAAAACAGATAGAATAATTGTAAAATTATTTTTAGAACATAAACCCCACGATAAACGAGGGACACTGTCCTCTCACCTCAACCTGTGCACATGGACTCACACTTGACTCGACCAGGATGGAACACGGAGAATTTCTTGTACAAGTCGTTGTTAAATGTGCATTTGTGTTTGGTATGTTTCAGACTGACCGACTGTTTGTGTCTCGCTCCTTCTGAGTCACAGACGCTACGAGAGACGCTCAGTTTAATGAACAGTCCTGAAAACCTGGACATTTGCATCACTTTCTAAAAAAAAAAAACCCGGACGCCCCGGACAGGACGCAAAATACAGACATGTCCGAGGAAAAACGGACGTTTGGTCAACCTAGGATATGTAGTTCAACACCATATATCACGATATTTCTGTTATTGTTACGTCTTTAATTATTACTCAGTGTGAATTTGACTCGTCCTCGTAGGAAAAATATGGTAAAGAGCAGATTTTCATTTCATTTTGTGGCCGGTCCGAGTGTTCACGGTTCTGTTGATTTTGTTGAGTTTGATTTTTCGACAAAACCGTAAGAGCGACAAACTGAAAAACAGAAACTGAGAAACGTGTGGGCGTCTTCAACTTCTCGTCTGTTGCACTTTTACGCAGAGTCGGGTTTTTTTCTGGTCAGATTGTGTGAAAATAAAACTCAGGTTAAAGTTCAAAGTCTGGTTGATCTAGATGTTCACTGACAAAACCGTGCGCTTTTTAAATGACATTTTTAAACACTTTTGATATTTTTATTTGGAGCGTCATCAGAGTTAAAGCCGCACTGTGTCACTTTTCTGATGGGGGCTCCGTAAAATGCTTTTTTTCCATGGACATTTGTGTTCTTGTTTTGTCTGGAATGTTCCACAGTACGGCTTTAAACCTTTCTGTCTTTACGGAGACCAAACCAAGACCAAGTTCCAGGACAGATCTGTTTTTTTCCAAGGTATTTTTGAGGTTTAGACCTGGTTTAGTCCTGGTTTAGTCCTGGTTTAGCCCTGGTTTAGTCCTGGTTTAGTTCTGGTTTAGTCCTGGTTTAGTCCTGGTTTAGACCTGGTTTAGACCTGGTTTAATTCTGGTTTAGTTCTGGTTTAGCCCTGGTTTAGTCCTGGTTTAGACCTGTTTAGACCTGGTTTAGTTCTGGTTTAGTCTGGTTTAGTCCTGGTTTAGGCCTAGTTTAGTCCTGGTTTAGTTCTGGTGTAGTCCTGGTTTAGTTCTAGTTTAGTCCTGGTTTAGTCCTGATTTACTTCTGGTTTAGTCCTGGTTTAGTCCTGATTTAGTCCTGGTTTAGTCCTGGTTTAGTTCTGGTTTAGTCCTGGTTTAGACCTGGTTTAGACCTGGTTTAATTCTGGTTTAGTCCTGGTTTAGTTCTGGTTTAGTCCTGGTTTAGTTCTGGTTTAGTCCTGGTTTAGTTTTGGTTTAGTCCTGGTTTAGTCCTGGTTTAGTCCTGGTTTAGTCCTGGTTTAGTCCTGGTTTAGTCCTGGTTTAGTTCTGGTTTAGTCCTGGTTTAGTTTTGGTTTAGTCCTGGTTTAGTCCTGGTTTAGTTTTGGTTTAGTCCTGGTTTAGTCCTGGTTTAGACCTGGTTTAGACCTGGTTTAATTCTGGTTTAGTCCTGGTTTAGTCCTGATTTAGTCCTGGTTTAGTCCTGGTTTAGTTCTGGTTTAGTCCTGGTTTAGTCCTGGTTTAGTCCTGGTTTAGTCCTGGTTTAGTTCTGGTTTAGTCCTGGTTTAGTTTTGGTTTAGTTCTGGTTTAGTCCTG